AGGATGAAGATACGAAGGGTTTGCTGGTGGACGAGCCTCCCAGCCAACTGCCGCTAGGGGGAGAGGGGACAAGCGTTCTGGAGTGGCTGCTGTGTCCTTGCTTCCACGTCAGGTGGCTTTTTTAAAAACTAGAATTAACTGCATTAATTGACCTTCAGGTCAGCAGTGACAGCTGGGAGGAAGAGTTCTGTCTCTTCTGGATGCAGCTGCTGCTGCACTGAAAATTACTGAGTGTTTTGCACTTTTCCAGCATCAGAAAAGGGGGCTACAGTTGCACTTCCTCACACCTATGCTTGCAACCATTTCATTCCCCAACTCTGACTCGCACACTGAGCCATATCTGAACTTGACCTGAAGCATTTGAAGCTGAGCATTCGGATTTATTTATTTATTTTTGGTAGTGTAAATTGTGAAAAATGGTACCTGCTGGAATTGTAATAAAGCTAGCAATCTTTATCGGGATGTGTGTGTGCATGAGAGAGAGAGAGAGATGCAGATCCCCCACGAGACTAATATTTTTCGTTTGCCGATTTACTGAATTCCTATTTTGGAAAGACAAGAACTCCATGTCTGCTCTGATCATCAGGGTCTGGCTGGCAGCTGGACCACTTCCCCGACCCCAAAGGAGTTAACACCACTTTGGAATCTTCCAAGATTGGACAATGTGATTGGAACTAATGGTCTAGGAGTCCTTGTTAGGGCTGAAAAGAGACTAGAATCTTTTGGGAACAAGGAGGCCAGCTGCAGAGAGGATTAGGAGCAGCTTCCATGGAAGCACCTATGCTTAGAAATCAGTCCCAGCTTCTGTGCACAGCCCACAAAGAGCAGCTTCTCCATCGGGGGGGGGGGTGCCTTGCATCTCTCTCCACTGCCTGACTTGGCTGTCTACTCCTGCATTCTCCCCCCATATGCCTAGAAAGCATGTGCTGGAATTCTGTGCCAGGCACAACTAAGAACTAACTAGTCATGTGAGTGATTAAATTTGCCAGTTGATTGACTTCCTTGCTAGTTGTACAACAGCAAATCCGTCCAGCAAAGATCCTCCTTCTTGACATCACCGTTTTTATCTAACTAGTGCCTTATTTTACCTTTGCAAAATGAAGGAGTCACAGGCAGTAATGGACAGCTTGCTCATCTCAGCCAAAGATGGCCAGCTTTTGAGCCTTTTGACTCAATGTGTGTTTAGCAGCTGTTTTTTGGACAAGGTAGAAGAACAGACATTATGAGCATCAAAGTTATACTTGAAAAGGGACAGTTATCCCTTTTTAAAATAGTTCTATTGTAAATATTCTGTAAGTGATATCAAAATTGTTAATGTTCTCTGCTTGCAATTACATTTTTGTTGGAGTAAACATCTTGCGGGTACTTTAAAGTCTAAGAAATATATGATAGTGCAAGTCTTTGGAGACCTGGTGACACTTTTTCAGATGTTCTGGGAATGCAATTATAAATTGGCTGGTGTGTACATGTGTGTATACATTTGGACAGTATGCAACAATGATTGATTTACTGATCTAAGATTGAGTGTGGTCTCAGGTTCAATTCCCTGTTCAGCTATAAAACTTATCGAGGGCCCTTTCCCAGCTGTTGCATCTTAACTTAATCTACTTCACAGGATTTTGGTGAAGTAGCCAGTGTGTGTGTGTGATTGTCTTGCCTTTCATCATACAATCCTCTCTCCAGATGATACCCCAACTCCCCATAAGTCAATTCAATTCCAAGGGAAAGCATCAGTAAAGAGCTTTTCCATCCACAAGGCTTCTTTCTTCGTTACAAGAAATGTTCAGGTGACTTGAGAACATGAAGCATGACCACTCCCCTTGCTTCATGGGTACTGCTCATGAACTCAAGGATTAAATAACAGCAATGTCTCTCTACTTCACGCAAGAAGACCTTAGACAACAACAGTAAAGCTTCTGAAAAGCAGGAGAGCAGGTTCTGTTCAGGTGTTTCATTCCATAAGATTTTTATTTTTACAACTACAAACATCTGAAGTACTGCAGACCATACTGATGGCTTGCAATCTTTACCCTGCTTTAGTGTTTACAGTGACTTTTATGCTGCTTCAGCCTGGTTGGTTCTGAATTGCTTATAAAATCAACAGTATAATGGCAACAGCAAATACACACAATCAGTATAAATGCATCACTGCAACAGTCATAGCGCTGCAGGGCATCCAGGCCAAAAGACCAGTCTCTCTTTAGTCCCTGCAGGCTCTTTGACTGATTATTTATTTATTTATTCAATTTATATGGCCTCCCATCTCTCAGATTGTGACTTTGGGTGGCTAATGTGAGATTTAAGGTAGGATTACTGGGAGCTAACGCAGCTCACAAAGTAATGGCATTATGCGGGTGCGCTGTGGTGTGCTCAGATCTGCCTGTGCCACTGTATTCTGGACTAGTTGCAACTTCTGGATGGACATGACCAGTTTTTTGAAACTTTTGGAAAAACTTGAGGGAAGGGGCCACTCTTTCTTCTGAGAGCAACCTTTCTTGAGGGGGGGAAGCCCCCACAGAGAATCCCTGCTTCTTAGCCCCCTCCTGTAGAGAACTATAGAGATGATTTGAAGAAGGAATGTGACAGTTAGCAAAACATAATTTAAGCCCAGGAAGGGAAGAGAATATTAAAAGGAAACCTGAACCGGCTCTGCCTTGACTCTCTCTGGTATAAGATGGGGGAGGAAAACACTGTCAGGCTTTCAAGATGATAATAGAGTTCCAGTATTCCTTGCAGAGCCTGTTTCATGACCTGTCCTGCATCAAAGGGCTGACCACCTCCTGCCAGCTTTTCCAAAAGATGGAGATCCTCAGCAGACACCCTCCATTTGCCCACATTGGATGAGCAGATTCTGTCCAGAATTGAGGGGCCTTGAAGATCCCAAGCCATTCTAGGGCATAATCAGTGTCTTGAATCCCACCTGGAAACAAGCTGGTAGCCAGTGCCTCTCCAACGTAATGTGGCAGTAATGGGTCTGACCCATCACTGAATAGGCAGCTGGTTCTGCATCAGCTGAAGTTTCTGAGCGATCTTCGAGTGCAGCCCCACGCAGAGCAAATCACAGTAGTTGGACCTGTGTGTAACTGCGCCACTAAGCACGTCGAAACCTTAACGCCAAGCCTCCTTCACGACTGTAATCATCTGAACGAGGAAGATGCCCAAACAAGTTAAAGGGAGCCAGTCATTTGTACATTCCTTCAGAACCTCCCCATTAAATTCAGATCTGATTAGGGTACAACTGAAGACACACTTGGCAAAATAAAAAGTTCAGCCTTAGCCAGTTGCTTTGAATAAATGGGTTACTTGTGTTTTCTTTATCTACTCATTTAATCTCAAGATCCTGTTCTCTCCACTTTATGGTCATCTCTATAGGTTATGATGGGTTCTCCTAGCATACAGAGGTAAACAGTGTGGCATTAGCATGGGGAGGGAACCCAGTCATTTGATTTATCAGTCTGTCTGGATCAGACCATCACGTTTAGCCCTGATGAGATTAATTTGTTTACTCTGTTATATGTATGAATCAGTTGTATTTACCTTGTGTGAACTCAGCTGATGCATTTAAAGAATCAAGGAACAGCTTGCTTTTTGAATTTATATACAGTATGCGGCCAGTCCTGGGCTTTCAATGAAATGTGATGCCAATTATTGTTTGGCATGGAGGTTTCCGTATGCTGAATGGGCCTCTCCAGTGGGCCATTTTAGAAGGTAGCATTTTATGTGCATGAATATTAATGCTCTGTTTGGCTTCAGACACCAGTGATGTCTGCACTGATGCCCATGTTTGGTTTTTTAATTACTTTTTTAGGAAAAGACAGACAGTTCCTCTCATAATTTGAGAACAGTATCTGAAGGATGATGGGGGGGTTGGCATGGCTCTTTGACTGTCTTTTACAGAGCCTGGTTTCACTTGGCTAGAAAAGCTGCAAGAAGAGTTTCCCCAAGGAAAGAGGACCCCCCCCCCCGAATTTGCTGTTAAACTGCATCTGCCCCAATCTCTTAAGATTGTTTTGAATAATACAGAAATGAGGCAGACATTTTATAGATAAAATGAAGTTGTTCAGCCATCCAAACCAGAAATTCATACCTAGAGGTCTCACTCTTTTATCTCTGTCTTCTGCTTTCACTTATTTTTCTCAGAAAAATGAAACAAATTTTGCTTGGGTGATGCTTGAATTTGCCTAGAGATGTTTTAAGCGCATGCAGGCTTCCACTGGCATACATTCTGACTGATAATGGGGTGGAATTTAGCTTTTGGTAATAGCAAACTGAAGTATTTCACTGTATAAATGTGAGAGTTATGGTGGACACCCATCTTTCTTTTTTTAATATAATTTTATTGAAGACATGTTTAACAAGATAAAAACAGTACACATATTGGAAAAGAAACAAAGAAAATAAGGAAGAATGGTGAATAAGAAAGAAAAAAGAAAAAGAAAAGAAAAAAGATTATAAAGAAATGGCTTCTAATCTTTTTGACAGTGGTTATAAATGCATTTATATTTTACCCTCTCTCTAAGGTACATCATTTATTTATTTTTTAATTAATTTTTATTGAAGACATTTTTAACAAGATAAAAACAATACAACTATTAGGGGAAAAAAACAAAATAAGGAAGAATAGTGAATAAGAAAAAAAATGCAGTAAGAAAAAGAAAAAGGAAGAAAAAAGGGGGGGGAAGGTGGACACCCTTCTTTCTTGATAGCCACTATGGTGTACTGTTGAAAACTTGGGCATATTTATGTTATTAACATCAAAGGAGTAATATTTGGCTGTACTAAAAATGATAAAGTTGCATTTGTGACCTGTGGTCCTTCTCTGGCGATGCTGGTATATCTCCAGTGGCTTCTTGATAGGCAGAAGCTCCACATGTTGAGTAAGGGAACCTTGCCACAGAAGAAAAATGATAAATAGTGAAGGCAAGTTGAAGTTTTATGTCCAGAAGAAAAGAGAAGTGATACTTTTCTGTCATAGGGAGCTTGGTGCTGGTCCTCAAAAGATGTTGGCAGGAAATGGGAAATATAAAGGGGAATCTGAGGGCTTGAAAGAGCAATACTTGTTAGAGGCCCTGGGCCAGCACGATCCCTCAAAATCACTTAGGAGAAGAACCTACTCTGTTTCTGACTGTATTCTTGTGAAGCCCTTAGAGAAGTATGATATGCAGCTGCGGTTCCTAGTAACTTTCAAACATGTGGACTCATGGTAAATGTTGTCTTCTCCCTAACTGCCACCCTTTCTTACACACATGTGATCACGTGCTAATGCTAATGTCTCTGTCTCTCTCTCTCTCTCTCTCTCTCTCTCTCTCTCTCTCTCTCTCTCTCTCTCTCTCTCT